CTTTTTTTTCTGGATGTGTGCGTATTTTCTGATGCAAATAACTTTAACGCCCCCACGGCTGAAAAGACGAGCATGTTTGGTGGGACGGGTATTCGAACCTGCGACCCTCGGATTGCGAGTCAAGATCTTTTCTTTTTTTTCTGGATGTGTGCGTATTTTCTGACGCAAATAACTTTTAAATGTAGGCGGTCTTGTAAATGAGTTCGTAAACCCGTGGATAAGTTTTATTTAATAATTAAATATATTTATATCAATTCCTAAATATAGGTCATTATAAATAAGAAATACCTTATATTTCTATACAGAGATCATACTGATGCAGAAAGACTTAACATTTCTCATATAGAGATCGTTATTAATAAGTAAAAACTTAACTCTACTAACACAGAGATAATTTTGGATTAGAAAGACTTAACACGCCGACTACAAAGAACATTGTGAACAAGAAAGACGTAACATTTCAAACACAAAGATAATTCCGACCAAGAAAGATATCATTTTGAAAAAGATGGTTTGTTTGTTTACGAATAATCGCGCAAAGCCACTCAAAGGCTATCTGCTCTAGCCGTCTCGAATTTTGTAAGAATAAAGTTTAAAGCTTTCTTGATCGGGATCTGGGAGGGTTAGGCTCAATGTTGACCTCTTCCCCTCCGTGCACTGGTATTTTGGTGACACTGATAAATGCTGAACGTCTCATAAATAGGGGTGAAAGAGTAAATTAGAGGGTTATCTGCCCAAGCCGTCCCTAATTTAGCAGTGTAAGACAAGAGGGAAGGTAGCTAGTTATCACCACCCACCGCCAACTCTTGGGCTACTTTTTCACCAACGAATAGTGGGATTGACCGTCACATTATAACGCCCCCACGGCTGAAAGGGCGAGCATTTTTGGTGGGACAGGGATTCGAACTCGCGACCCTCTGATTGCGAGTCAAACGCCCTAACCACTTGGCCATACCGGACCACCGTGGACGTATTAAAAGTGTCACGGTTAGACAAGAGTTAGTGGTGGGTGTTGTTGGCTAGCTGGCTTCCCTCTAGTCTATAATTGCTAAATTAGGAACGGGTAGCACAGATAGCCCTCGTGTAGCTTTGTGTGAAATTCAAAACAAACGAATCAAATCCTTAGAAAACCGGGAATGGCCCTGAAGTGGGATCAGTGTATGCAAATTAGGTTTTGAACTCTGATCTTGTGAAATGATCATATAGCATTTGTTAGTGAAAACAGAAACTATAAAGGCGAGAAAAGTGGTCTAAATATAGCACTTGACCAAACACCGACACAGACGAAAAACGAGAAGACTCGTATTAAGAAATCATCAATTCTATTCTAGTTATTGAAAATAAGAATTTATGATCTGACTTACATGTACACACATAATGTTAATACTTTTGAGTTCATATAAACCAATCCCCGCGGCTCAGCGGAAGTCAGAGAGTTTATAACAATAAAAATCTGGTTTCGATACCCGCGGTAACGAGAGTATAGATAGCCCGTTGTATAGCTTTGCGCTTCACAACAAACACTAAAAGATGCCGACACATACCAGCATTGAAACATTGTATATTATAAGATCACATACACACAATCATGAATATATGTGTTTATAATTATCAAAGCAGACCTTAACAACCACAACAACAACAACAAAAAAGCGTTGCATCAATTAAAAATATCACCAGGGTACAGGTTATAATGAGGTATATAAGATATATCTTAAGTTTTGTACGTGATTACGGTGGGGTACCCTTTCAACCAGTGTTAGCCTCCTTTCGTTAGTCTCACACAGTGAACCTAACCTAACTCAGTCAACCATGATTTAACTTCTGTGCATTGTTGTTCGAAATAATTTACCGCCGGGTAGCCTATACCACAGATAACATCAAAACACGTATTCGATTTAATGAATTTTTTTTATTTTTCTACTGAATATTTAACATACTCAGACCAGTCTATAACCCTCTTCATAACATTATTGTATTGGAATTATATATAACACGCAGAACTATCAAACCACGTGTGGACGTTCCCCCATTCCAATTACCACTACAACCATCAAAAGAACGGTTATAGCTTTTAAACACAGTATCTACTGTCTGGTTCATTATGAGAAGATTTCTATCATTATTTTATGCCTTGAAATGAACCATGGCTATTTTGTTTGCAGCCAAAAGTAAAAGAAAATGTATCCATGAGTTTAACAAGCGGTCCAGCAAACTGACTGACCAGTTTCCTTTACAGTTATTTCGACTGTAAAGCCAGCACCACCCCTTTTACCCTTTTTCAATATTCTTCTTGATTTCTGCGGAGTGATGAAGACGAAAAAAACAACTAATTTCTTGGAACTTTCCTCTTCTACTATTTGTTTTTCTATGATTTCTCAGATTCTCTACCACTATTCTTTTAGACATTTATAAAAGCAAAGTTTACATTTTCCTCCAACAATACTTTTCACATTTTCAACACGATTCACGATTTAAGACTTATCAGGCCGAAAACTAGTTTTGAATTTCGCTGGATGCGAGAAAAAAAGAAAAGAACGTTTACCCAAAGCGGATTTTGGATACGTTACAGAAAAACAAATTCCAGTTCTAACGATGCCAGGTACAGCTTGGTACCAATTTTGTACAGGTAGACCCTATTTTTTTGGGTTCAACGACCATACTAAATCTATAACTGCTGACGAAAAAAGAATTAAAACAGTCATCAATATTTGACGCCTAAACGGTTATTCTTAGCCGAATAGCGGTACTGACTGTTACTTTTATACCACAACCACAGCTGAAAGAAAATAAGATACGGAGAGTGACACACTAACAACCAGGCCATTTTGACTCCAGACTACTAAAGGTATGCCACATTTATTTGTAGAAAAATGCACTGTGCCGTCTACAATAAACACAAACCATCTTGTACTTAACAGCGGTATGTCTGCGGACTTACAATGCAAGAATCCGGGTTTCGATACCCGTGGTGGGCAGAGCACAGATAGCCCATTGTATAGCTTTGTGCTTAATTACAAACAAACTTAACAATGAATTAATCTAAAAAAAACTAATCTTTCGTTTAGAAAAATTACTAGTTTTAATTTCAATAAAAGCTTAAAAGATAATTTCTAGGCTTAAGGTTTTTGAAATGTAAAAGAAAAAAAATAGACTGAATTTTCCGAGCGAATATTTTGTGCGAGAAGAAATATCTCACCTTCTACACCTCTTACACTTTCCAGCAACCTCAGAGCTGCCCTTTCTTCCAGGTAAGTCAAGACTAGCGTCTTACCGCAGTAAGCCATACCTCTAGGGAACACAACCCACAAGAAACGCTAATTATCATGTTCAACAGACACTAACAGGCTGAACAAAAGTATCGTTTTGCCACCGGTATTCCTTTCTAATTGTATATTAACATATTTTGGTGAAGTTGGAAATGAAATCGCTGGTATCACAGATGGCGTGGCGAAAGTAAAGGACAAATAATTATGTATCACGTTAGGATGCGTTTCTCTCGCTGTACTAATATATTGACAAAAAACACCGTTTTCGGTCTATCCAGACCAGAATGCTTTACAACTGCTGTTTATCTACTTAAGGACATTCTATTAGCCCAGTCTCTAACGGCAAAGAGCACAGAAATAAAAACAACATTGCCATAAAAATTCGTGCCATGTGCCTTTCTTCATTATTTACAAGATGAACTTTAGAATGCTGATGTTCGTGAAAGGGAACTCCTAGTGATTGGTAAGCGTCTCCTTGGTTTCCAACAAGTACACGGATTTCATTTCACATAAACAGACGTCCATTTAAAAGTAACCTACTATATGTGTAAATTCAGGAGTGCCAGTTTATACTTCCTGTACTACGGTTATTACTCACAATTGTGAAGAACTGAATCCAGAACAACACTCAAATGGATAGAACGCTTTGAACACGAAACACGTGGGGTCGTATAGCGGGAAAAATTTCTATTTTTCTTCTTCTTCATCTTCTTCTTGAGCCGGCATTGTATGTTCAAAATACGTATTTACCTGTCTTGGAACGCTCTGCGCGACTGCCCGTAGTTAAACCCAACTAGTTTCTGATGGTCAGATTCACAAGCGAGTCACTAATATTTAGAGTTTCGTTTAAGTGTCGTACCTCCAGGCGAATCTTCTAGAGAGCCTAAAATTCCTGAAATCCTTCACTTTGTGTTCTGTATGTGGGCACGAGCTACGTATAGAAGAAAAGCTCCAATGCCCCTCAGTAAAACCTATTTTCCAAAGGGAAGCAAACTACAGAGTGATACAGACATATTTCCAAGGGAGCAGGAATAGAACTCGTGTAACCACGAATAGCGCAGGTGTCTTTCCTACGAGTGCACTACGAAGATACCAAGACTTTTGAAGTTCACGGACCGTGCGGTATGGCACGTATTCAAGGGTGTCTCGCGCTGTTCTGATACCTGACTGCACGTTCCTTCATAGTATGAGGTCATCAGCTGAGAAAGGGACGTCATCGTACTTGGCACCAATGAATTTAGTCGCTCTAAAGCTTTCAGATAACGCAGCAGTTCAACGCAGAGTTTAATGTATTTATTTCGAAGTTCAAAATATACAAACCACTCAAGATAAACACTGCCTTCGACAGTATCACTAGTTTGTGTATTATTATTAACTCCTGATCAAAATAAATCACCTAGATAGATTAGAACTTAAAATTTAACCCAGTAATGGACATAGCTAATATAACACACAGTTCACCAGTATAGTTTTTGTTTTAGATTTGCACTTGTCCAGGATTACTGATGAGAAGTGGAAATTCCCGCAACCGGTACAAACTCAAACAAGTGATGAATCAAATGATTGGTTTGGCTTGTTTTGAATTTCGCGCAAAGCTACACCAGGGCTATTTGCGCTAGCCGTTCCCTAATTTAGCAGTGTAAGACTAGAGGGAAGGCAGCTAGTCATCACCATCCACCGCCAACTCTTGGGCTACTCTTTTGCCAAAGAATAGTGGGATTGACCGTCACATTATAACGCTCCCACGGCTGAAAGGGCGAGTATGTTTGGTGGGACGGGGACTCGAACCCGCGACCCGCAGCTTGCGAGTCGAGCACCCTAACCACCTGGCCATGCCGGACCAGTTAGGGAAATTAAATATGATTTTGTATCAAGCTAAACTTTAATACTTTTAAGCTACGCAGTTAACAAATATAAAAATGTTTTATTGAGAATAGCTAGTTTTTCATCTTTATTCACAATTTATATCATTATTTTTGTTTTTGACGTATAATCTTAAGAAGAGGACAAAAATGAAAACGTTGAAATAAAATCATTGCCAACAACGTTGGCAGCTTTCGTTGACAAAGAAGCGCATTTAGTAGGATCCTTACTATTATTCGAAGTTGTGAAAACGTTAATGTGAAAACATTTTATGAAGCATTTTTGTTCGAATATCACTTCTATGATTTTAATGATAACATCAATAAAGAATAATGATATATTGTGCGAAATTATGTCGTGCATTGTAAACAAAATACGTCTCAGAAACGCTGTTTCGTAAGCTTAAGACTTCTCATGTAAGTTGGCTATTGCCTTTCCATTCAAATGTTCTCTTCATTTCAATATTCTATGACAACATTAAGATGTTACTGTGCACTTTCACAGACAGTGTAACTCTTTCTATGGCTAAAAATCGAAAAATTAAGTTTTTAGCGTTTATCGTAGAGAATGCGTTTCAATAATCCTTACAAAAATTAGTAAAATAAAATCCCTTAAACGCTTTTCAAACTTCATTACATTAATTCAATTTATGATTGCTTGAAATATAATATTTGGATTTGTTTAAAGCAGGTGTTTTATCGAAATAAGCTAGTTGTTCATACATATTTTCACCTTACGTCATGATGTTTGCTCTCGTTTGAATTTCCTGAAAAGTGGACAAAAAATACATGTTTATACAGAATCATTGCCAACAACTATATGAAGTTTCCGTCACAAAAAAGTCCTCAAAGTTGCGTCATTGCTAAGCGTTGATGGCACAAGTTATAAAATAAAAATCCAATAATTCGCACTAGAACTTTCGATAAAACGCTGGTATTGGAAACCTTTATAACATTTCTGAAAAACAAAATACAGTGGGTAGAAAAATATAATAAAAATGTCCACGTGGCTCCATTAAAATTGAATTGTTGGAATGTTTATGAATCCCAACATAAGCAGTTATGCTACAACTAATACTGTTCTTAGAATAATTACAGTCTTCAACTTATCGGTGTTCGCAGTGTTTCAGAGATAAGTAAGATTAACTCTACAAACTAACTAATGTCGGTGTTGTTTACATAACCTCACTACATATAAAGTGTGTCGTTACAATACTGCAGGGGATTATAACAGGGGTAATACAGATTGCTAGCAATTAACTTCAATACTGATTGCAGAAAATCACTATGCATAAAATATGCCGATGTTTTGATCACCAGCCTCTAAAGAGAAAATTATTATTCATCACTTGATTAATGTTTATTGGTTTTACTTCTCTCTAAATTATGCCTGATTTGGATATTTACTATTCCTGGGTTTGTTTCGATAATGTTAGGCACAATGGGCTATCTGTAATGTACAGACTGCATTGATCGAACACAGAATTTTATTATTATTACAAACCCTCAAATTTATCGCTGAAGGCAGTTTGTGGGAATAACAATGTTGCTTAACCTTGCTTTAATCTTGCTTAAAATTTAAATGAGATAGTAATAAGTTTGGATAGAGTTGTACATTTTCATATATATCGCGTATTGAATATACACAACATATGCTTATCAGCAAAGGGGAAGAGAAAATATTATAGTATCAAAATTATTGCTAAAATTCCTTCCTGTGCACATATAAAACAAAGTTTTTAAATTAAAATTGCAAAATGTTACAAAATTGACTTTAAACTGTCTGCATCACAAAACGCCCCCTAGTGGCACAGCGGTGTGTCTGCGGACTTACAACGCAAAAAACCGGGTTTCGATACCCGTGGTGGGCAGAGCACAGATAGCCCATTATGTAGCTTTGTGCTTAATTCCAAACAAACAAACAAAAGCATCACAAAATATATACCCAAAAATATACACGCAATCTTTGGTTTCAAATCTAAATATTCGGGTGCAATTTTGACAATTGTTCAGCATTGTTACAAAAGCACAGTAATATACACCATAGGAAACTGATATATGTATATATAATCTTTTATTTATTTCAAATTTTTCAGTTATCAAAACAGTTATGACAGATGTATTGGTACAGATAACTTAGAAAAATAATATCTTCAGATTTCAGTCTCTATGGAATAGAAAAGCATTTGAACCTTATTAAATGATATTAATGATAAACAAAAAGGAGTTGCATCTATCATAATTAACAAATGAGTAATTTTTAAGTGACCTCTGAGGGGATTGCTCATCAATTTTTGATTGTGTGTCTCATAATATTCTAGATCATATGCCTTTTTTGTTTGCTTTGTTTAGTTTTGATATCATATTTGACTATAAGGTTGGCATAACTTAACGTTGGTTTATTAAGAACTTCCACAACATCTTGATGGCCAGTAGCAACAACAAAATATAGTTCTAAATCATTCAACTTTTAACACACGGAATTAGTTTTTATTGATATAGAGGTGATAAGTAGAGAGCACTGTTTTAGGGAATATAATCATATACGTTCATTGAACAAGTATATAACGTTTTCAGTTTATATAATGAAATACTACTAGTGTTAAAAAAAGTTTTTATAAATATTTTATGTGAATGCATCTGTGTTCATACATGATTAATGTAGTTAATTATTTGACCGTTCATGAGAATGAGTAGAGCATTGAACCCCCTATTTTTGTGATGAAAAATATATATATATTTATCATCCAGAGAAATACAAGTTTGTCTTATAATAACATTAACTTTTCACATATGAAGTACCTCGTGGTAAATCGTTTGACATGGGGGATTCTTACGAAACTTTGATTTAAAAAAAAAACTACTTAACTATTCGTGAATATCATTTTTCATTAGGAGTCTTCTGTTTCAATAATCTGTATGGCCAGGTGGTTAGGGCACTCGACTCGCAATCTGCGGGTCGCGGGTTCGAATCCCCGTCACACCAAACA